AACACTAACATCCATATTTTCAATGCTTAGGTAATATGAACAGCGTCCTTTTTAAACTAAGATTATAAAATTAACTACAATGTCACAAGTTCCTTAAACAATTCACAGCAAGTAGTATTCAAAGTTGATTACAGAACTGCATGATGTCTCAAACAAGATGACTATTTCCACTTCCCTCTCCCCAAGCCCTATGTCTGATAACTAGCACTGAAGAAAAAAGATTTCATTCCACTGAAGAAGGAAAATGCCCTGCAGCATGCAGTAGAGCTGGCCCATCATTCCAGATCTCTAAATAGCTTCCCTTTCCCATCAGTTAAAGAGGACTAATGTCATGTCACAAGCTCTTACAGAGATTCTTTGAGTCAAGGAGCTATTCAATGAAATCCAGGTCCCACCTCGTGAACAGACTCTAAAATTATAAGGCAGAGACAGTAAACTGGTATGAATAAGTCAACTCTTTACTCTGAAATTCTGTGTCCAAAAAGGCAAATCCAGAGTCACTAAGTTAACAAATACTCTGACTCTAAACAATTTAAATGAAAAAAAATTCTATCATAAGGCTCCTCTAATAAAACTTTATGTTACATTTGAAAGCAGGAATACAAGATTGGCACAGCAAAAATGTAATTGTAATTATATAAACAGATTTCCACTTCTGGCCAAGATAGAATAACAGGAGCCAGATTTACCCCTCTGTCTAAAACAACTGGAAAATAAAAGCCAAAATACATGAAGCATTTTCATCACTAATTATCAGGGAAATGCAAATTAAAACCACAGTGAGCTATCACCTCACACCAGTCAGGGTGGCCAGCATCCAAAAGACAAGGAAAAACAAATGCTGGTAAAGATGCAAAGAATGGGGAACCTTCCTACACTGCTGGTGGGACTGTAAATTAGTCCAACCATTGTGTAAAGCAATATGGAGCTGCCTCAAAAAACTAACAGCAGAAATACCATTTGACCCAGGAATTTCTAGGAATTTACCTGAAGAAAACAAGATCCAAGATTCAAAAATACATATGCACCCCTATGTTTATCGCAGCACTATTTACAATAGCCAAGATGTGGAAGCAAACTAAGTGTCCATCAGTAGACGAATAGATAAAGAAGATGTGCAACATATACATAATGGAATATTATTCAGCCATAAGAAGAAAACAAATCCTATCATTTGCAACATGGATGGAGCTAGAGGGTATTATGCTCAGTGAAATAAGCCAGGCGTAGAGAGACAAGTACCAAATGATTCCCCTCATTTGTGGAGTATAACAACGAAGCAAAACTGAAGGAACGAAACAACAGGAGACTCACAGACTCCAAGAGGAGACTAGCGGTTACCAAAGGGAAGCAGGTGGGGAGGGAGGGAGAAGGGGATTAAAAGGTATTATGATTAACACACATAATGTAGGGGGGCACAGGGAAGGCAGTACAGCACAGAGAAGACAAGTAGTGACTCTATAGCATCTTACTTTGCTGATGGACAGTGACTGTAATGGGTTATGTGGTGGTGACTTGATAATGGGGGGAATCTACTAACCACAATGTTGCTCACGTGAAACCTTCATAAGATTGTGTATCAATGATACCTTAATAAAAAAATACGAAGCATTTTTTAAATGGACATCAGGCAACAAAGGATAGTAGATTTGTAGTAAGACAGAAACACACAAGATGAGTCCTACAGTTGCCCCAGCTTATTGCCTTGGAAGAATTTGTAGGCCACAAAACAGGGATAGGGAACCCAGGAAGAGAAGAGAGGTCTGAGTTAAGAAGATGCTAGAGACTCTACTCTAGAGACAGCAAGGTGACTGTCATATACAAGGCAGAGTGCCTACGAGGAGAGAGTCGCACAGAAGATCCTGAGACCTGCAGAAGGTATCCAACAAGCCTTCAGCTGAATACTTACCAGTATATAGGGCAGAACAGCACCACCAAACAGGATGAGAGGGAAGACCACCCAGAGCTCACACAGGTCCAGGTACAGTTCCTGTTCCCACAAGCCAGTGTACTCAGAAAGGTTTTGCCACTATAGTGGGACAAGATGGTACTGCCTAACACAATTTAGAAGCAAGGACTTGAAAGATTAAATTCTTTCCAAGTAACTTAATTTTGTCCAGAATAAAGTTCAATATTTAATGAAACATAAAACATCTAGCACCCAACAAGGTAAAATTCAAAATGTCTGGCATCCTATCAAAACGTACCAGGTATGAAAAAGCAAGAAAAGTTAATCCATAATGAAGAGAAATCAAAGCCAACCCAGAAATGACACAGACAGAATTTGTGGACATGAACACTAATACAGTTGTAACTGTATTACACAAGTGCAAGAACTGGGGAAAAGACAGAGCATGAAAGCTATGAAACTGGAAGATACAAAAAAAGACTGAATTTCTAGAGATGAAACTAGAATGTCTGAAACGAAAAATATGGTGGATGGGATTAACAGCAGATTAAACATTACTGAGAAAAATACTAATTAATTTAGACACATAACAAGATTATCCAAAATGACACAGAGCAGAAAAGACTGCAAAAAAAAACTTTGAACAGAACATCAATAAACATCAAGCAGCCTGATAAACAGTTAACTGGACTTCCAAAAGGGAGAAGGGGGTCAACACACACACACACACACACACACACACACACACACACACACACACATTTATATATTCTTACATAAATATATATTAAATATATGTTAATATATTACACATATTCTTCATGTATTTAAAGAAGTGGTAAAAAATTTTCCAAATTTGATATAAACTATAAATTCATAGACCTAAGAAGCTCAACAATCCAAGCATAAGAAATATGAAGAAAACTCACAAAATACCTAACCAAATGTAATCTAGAAATTACTTAGACTAAGGCTAACTTTTAGATTAAGTTGCTGGGTGCAGTTTCAACTGACCATTCAATAGAGTACATTAAATCAAATATTAATTTGAGTAAAGTATTTAACCGAAATCGTAATGACTTCAAAACTAGCAAAATACAGCTTTTAAAACAAAGTATAAGTTGCTGCTTTACTAGGTAAATAATTCATTAAACTAAATTTGTGTTGATCATATTTTAGCAAAAAATTTTTTTAAAGCTAAAGCATACTTCTTACTTTTTTCCTTTAATCTATATAGGTCATTGAGAACAGAATTAGGACACTGAAAAAACTTCTAAAGAAACTGGGAGGTGAAACTGAAAATAGAAGCAGATTTGAGGTTTGGAATGGAGCTAGTCCTCTCAAAAAACAACCTGACAACCACTATTTTGGAATATCATTACTTTCAAAATATACATATACTTTTTAAAAAAATATAGAACTGTACTCAAAGTGGAAACAAGCTAAAGTGTCAGTTTTTAGCACCTTCGTAACTATAAATAGGACTCAAAAAAACCTAAGTATTTCTTGGAAAAAGAATCATTCAAATAAAAAACATTAAAGTGGAAAATTGTTTTCCTATTTTTGTAAACACACCTGCTTTTTTAGGGTTCAGCACACAAATTAAAAATTTTTTGTCTAAAAATAAAAGACAGAGGAACAAGATCTGAGTATCTACTGTAATGGCTACCCTTCCTGAAATGCATGACCTAAAACAGAAATCAATTAAATTATTCTACCATTTTGTTGAGGAAATAGTGGGATATTTCAAAGATAAAAAATAGTTACAGTAGGAGAGGTGGCAAAAAAGTATTCACTATCCTTTTAAATAACTAATGTCCACATTTCTTTTTTCTAAGAAAAAATATACACACACATTTAGGCAATGAATATATTTCTTTGGCTGCCTATACACTTTTGGAGAACATAGTAGTATAAGACATCCTTGTAGGATTGACACATACATGAAAAATAACACAAATCTCTTTGAGCACACAGACTGAGAAGTTGCCTCTGAAATAATTATTTATGGATTTGACTTCTACTCACTTTTAAATACAGAAATTTAAAAAAGAATTTCCAATAAAATACAGAATTTATGTAGTCTATTAGACTTATTGTCTAGTAACAATTATTAAAATGCATTAAATTCCCACATATGTAAAAGATAATTATCTCCTGAAATTGAAAGCTCTACATTACTCTTGTTATCAGCATTATTCAAAAGAAATAAAGCTAAATACATGTTATTTTGAACATAACTGTAATATTCAGCTTGAGAACCTATAGTGATGTATTTAGAATGTATGTATGCTACACTAACTAAAATGATAAAATGGAGTTTTATTTCACTGGTCCAGCTACCAGTATGATTTTGATATTCAATTACATCTCAAAAACACATTCCTACTTAATATGAACCCAATATCATAAGCATAAAAGACCAAGATTTTCCTACTAAATCATTATCTAGTTGTCACCAAGATTTCACTAACCTGCATGTCAAACTTAGCTCTAAGAGTACCTTAAAATAATCCCACAAATATTAATCTAATAAATCACATGATAAGTCATCTAATCAGACTTCGGTCATTTTACACATTTAAATTACTTGCTGCAGCAACAGTCCTCACCAATCAGAACTGTTTGAAATTCTCGCTTCTAAAATGTGTTATTACTTCACCAGTTTCAAAATTTGAGCCATTTATTTTTAGACACAGAGGTTAATGAGAAACATTTCTGCATCAAATATACATAACTTCACAGTAAAGGTATTTTCCCCTTAGGAAACTATTCTCATTCTCTCTCTCATTTTACTACTAATCAAAGTGGTTACAGTGTGGTTTGGATTTCAGCACGGAAGACAATAAATGACAATACTTGGTTTGCAGAATGAAAAACTTAAGCTTCACAATTTTAACAAGTATAATTACTGGATTATGATAAATGGGCTGGGCATGTAAGACTCTTGCTCCTTTCAAGGTCCAATTCTTGAGCCACTTGAATTTTTCTGGCCAAAGAACCAAATCAGGAGCTTAAAACATAAATTCTAAGTTTACAGTATGCAATTTTTCAATAAAACAAGTTATCTAGAAAAGAAAAAGACACTTACATTTGGAACATGACCTGGTTCAAGAATACCCCATCCACCAAAGCCACATAATCATCCAGGTTGGTACCATTTCCTTCAACCAGAGGTCCAAACGTTTTAACCTGGAACAGAACGATCATCACGATACGAACGCCCACCTCCATCTCTGCAGCCACAAATAATGCAGCAAAATAATACGATAAATAACACCCCACTTACCCAAGTGACCAAGGGGCTGGTCATGAACTGCTCCACAAGGGGCGTAAAAATCTCGTTCTCCATTTTACGGATATTTGTAAAAGGAACTATCACAAAAATACGCTTAAGTAGGAAGAAATCAATGAAATACGTTAGATACCACGCTAAGAATTCAAAGCGGCCCCCGTGCTCAAAACGTTCCAGCCACCAGTGGGCATGGAACCGCTTCGACCCGCGGAGCCTTCCCTGCCCGCAGCCCCTTACCAACGACAGGCAGGGCTCGTCCCCTCCCCGAGGGGAGGGGGCTCGTACGTGTGTTCCTAACCCCTCAGTTTCTTGAGCCCCGCCAGCCTTTTCAGTGCGCCTCTGTAAAAATCACCGCCGCGCTGTAGCCTCCTCCTCCTCCGCCCTCTGGAGTGGCTGGAGAAACGCTCTCAGAACCGCAGAACCGAAGGACACCCCGCTCCTCGCCGACCAACCAATAGCGGGAGACCGCGGTCAATGAGAGCGCGCTGCTCCCTCCTCCGACTCTCCGCCCCTCCCGCGCCGAAGCCTCTGGATTGTGACGTAAGAAAACCACTGTATGAGCGGAGCTGTATGAGCGATACCTGTATGAGCTGACCTTGGCGGCGGGCGCGGGCGCGCGCTCGCTGCAGCTGCTGCGGTGGCCGGCCCCTACCTAGCTAGCGCCCAGGATGGTTGCCAGGGCTTAGGGGGCGGAGATCGGGAAGGCGGAGGAAGGGGTCTGTCTGCTTACTCGCTCCTACCTAATTATATGAATGGGATGAAAAGAGAGTGAGGCCCACCAAGAACTCAGGGAGTTAATCCGTTTAAGCCAGAGAGCTAGAAAGGACTCACACCCTTTCAATGTGAGTTCATTCCACATGCTCTGAATCTGGGCTGACCTTGAGACTTGCTCTAATGCAGGTGAGATAGGGCAGAGACAAAGGACAAGCGTTATGATAAATTTTCCTAAAAAAATGTTGAGATTAGCATATTAACAGGAGAGACTTATCTTAAAGCTGAATTTCCACTTTTGAAAGAGAATTGGGAAGTTAGATTCACCCAACGACTCTTACAGCAAGGCATGCAGTCTTAACTAATGTGTTCCCAGTACTTGGGGTAGCCACTAACTTAGGAACAAAAGGTTTGTCCTACAGAATAACCTAGAAAACTGGCTATAGGCAATGACATACTGTTTCTCACCAGAGATAGAATCATGAGATGAGACTGCCTGACAAGCCTACACCCCCGACCCCTATACCTTTGCCCCATTCTTGAAAGCCTTAGAAGACACAATCCCAGGCTTTGGGTGCTCCTCCTCCTCTCTGATTGCCCACACTCCCCTTCCTTGAAGTGTGCATTTTCAAATGACTTTTTTACTGCTCAATTTACTGTACTTTGTCTCTCTGCTCTTTCAGTGATGTCTTTGTCACTTTGCTATTCCATTCTATCTTCCAGACTTTAAGCATAAGTCTTGACTCTCTCTGTCCTACTCCAGATAAGCAAGTAAACCTGCCTTTATCTACCTTGGCTTTGGTCCTCCCTTAGAGTATATTTAAATAACTTTCATTCTGCTTCACTACTGTGTCTCTGCCCTTCAATTCTTTGTCGCAGTAGGGACAAGAACCAAAGAGAACAAACTGATCATCTCCAACAGATTGGCTATGGGGACGGAGGATTCATAGCTTGTATAATTGGCAGTTCATCTCCAAAGAGATTTTTGCGTCAGAAACAGATGGATGGCAGTTCATTTCCAAAGAGATTTCTGCGTCCGAACAACCTATTGCCTAGACAATGCGCTGGATCTACTGACAATATTCCCTCTTTATGCTCTTTTGTAGCTGTCATGGAGATCCTACCTTTGGTTATTGTTTTCCTACTTCTAGGCATGATTTACATTTCTCAGTTACAATCACACTCAAATTCTTTCACCTTTTTACTGTTAGTTTGCCACATTTGGATTTGTGTATTCTTGAAAGCTTTCAAACAAATGTGATCCTTTGGCATATGTCATTATCTTCAAGAGGGAGATCTTTGTGATTCTAATGCTTTCTAATGTCATTCTCAGAGAGAAACCTAGTGAAAAAAGTGAGCACTACGATACCTTATATACCAATATGAATTTTAAATGAATTGAGTTATGTATCCTTTAAAAAATAAAAAAGAGAGTGACTATTCTATTGCTGAAGTTTACTTTCTTAACTTAGATCTGAATAACTTAAAAAGGAAAGAATGGCATTTGGTTACACAAAATAAGTAACTTCTGTAGAAAAAACAAAACAAAACAAAACAAAACTCCTAAAATGGTGTGAGTGCCGGGACAGCGCCCAGGACCCGGAGCAGAGCCCACAGGGGTTCCCACTGGAGCTGTGGAAACACCGCGTGCATTTCGGGGCAGGTGGCATCTGAGCTGGAGGAATCTGCCAGGCAGCAGGGGCCCCGGGCGCATCCGAAGGGCAGGGTACGCAGGACCCTTAGCCGTCAGCCCCCAGGGCGCGGGCGGACCGGAGAGGCGATGGCGTTAGGGTCAGACCAGCCCCGGAGCAGCTGTCAGAGTTCGCGGGGGGCGCAGCCCTGGGACCCAGGGCTCTGCCTGAAGACAAATCCGGGCCGCAGGAACGCTTGGCTTCCTTCTGGAGAAGCCGGGCAAGCGTACCCGGAGAGGTGACAGGCGGTCTCGGCGGCGCCGCCGCGCAAGCGCAGGGAAGGCGCC